CAATAATTGTTTACTCAGCTAGGATTTAGGATCGCCATAAGTGGAACATTCCGTTTCATTATTAAATGAAAGAAAACAAGTCTATCAGATCTACAGTACTTCCAGGATGGACATATCATGTTCTGAGAATGGCAGAGAGATTCAAACCACCCATTTGTCTTGAATAACTATCGATCCGATACAATGTAACAATCTTGAGGTCATCCCAAGAAGCACAGGGCAGTGGACACTGAATGGGATGTCAGTACAGGCTCCCGTACTCAGTGGGCTGGGGCTCTGAGGTCACAATGCCTTGATTTGCACAAACCTGTTTAAAACTGGAACGGTGTGAGTCAGGTTTGGGGGGCAATGGAGTCTGACCTGAGTCACACAGGGTGTAAATCAGGGTACATGCTGCCAATCCTCCATAACAGGAAGCAATCTAACATTAAAAGGAAAACTCATTTAACCTTGTTACACTTCATTCACCAAACCTTAAAAGAATAATATTATGCTGTAGGATAACTTAATTCATGGTTGATTTGCAGGCAACAATAATGCCTAAATGCGTCATCGGGCCCCCCTGCCAATGTTGAACCAATTGACGTGTAGTTTTATGTTCAGTAGCGTGCCCCTGTTCAGTGGCTTATCGATTTTAGCTTTTTCCAATATCACAGCAAAAGCAGCAGTTGTTTCTGTACACAGTGGTCAGACGACACACAGGAGACTGATGATTGCACTGTTTTTGTTGCATTTTGTTCCACCTGTTAATTATATTAACACATTTCAAGCATTTTATCTCTGGGATACTCTTGTCCTGCAATAATAATCATAGATTAAAAAACTGCCCAGCTGAACTGGAGACTCACAGTGTGAGTATTTTAGACGGCCGTGGCTAACATGCGGCTGCTAGTCTGTGTTAGCGGCCACAGCTACATGTCACCTTGCTTAGCAGGCCGTCCGCCTGTTAAAAGGTTTGTTTTCGTGCTCGGGGAACAGCAGGCCGGCTGATGGGTCAGTGATACGCTTCGAAATGTTTTACTCACAATGAAAGGTAAATTTAGTTAGAAAACAAATGGGGATTCAAATCAGGAAATGGGTTATTGGGTCAAATAGCAGATTAGCTTATAGAGTTCCAGGCAATATGCTGTATGTATTTAGGTGTAACAGGAAATTATTGTTTAAGACTTAATGGAGGATTCTGTATGGATTATGGGTCTTGTCCCAATTTTGAGAATTTTTATGTAAGTACATATTTTATTTATTATATATTTGCTTTTTATTGTTTAAAGCTACAAATGTTTCTTAGTTCTGTCCTTGCCACCACTGGGCATGGAAAGTGATCACAATCCAAAATAAATTGCTTGCCTTTCATTTCTGACTATTCTCACTGTTGCCATGGCGCAGATGCTCAGTCAAAGAGGCAGGTTATTGGTCACTATTGGGGTCCTTGAATGTCAGAAACTGTGGTTGGAATTGCAATGGGAGGGACAGTGGCGGGGGGGAATTCTGGGGCTTTGGTATGGGAAGCAAGGTGCATTCTATGGCAAGGTGTGTTCTTCATTCACCACCCACCTTAGGACTGGCTTATGCTCCGCTTGACCTCCTGATTCTCATCTTCATAAAATCTCTTCACTGCTGTGACTCGTTCATTGGTGAATCCAGAATCCCACCTGCGATGAATTCCTTTGAGAGTCAGCACATTCCGTAACTTTGATGTGACAAGTCAACACACAGGACAGACCCTTCCAGCCACATTCTATTCACATCTATTCATTGCTCCAGTACGGAGTACATATAACCCAAGACAAAAATAGTAATCGATAACAAGAAAATGTTACAGTATTGCACATGGAAAATGACCAACAAGTACATTACACTTAGTGAAGTAGAAAAATAACAGCCCGAAGACTTGTTTTACAAGCAAGTCTGTTTCAGTTCATACAGGCCTGATAGCATTTAAGGTTACAGTGTATTCTTCTGAAAAGATAATTGCACTTGTTTGCATTGCATTGCCAAGACATTTTTTTTAAGGTGTGTAATGTTTTAAATTCACCGATGAGACTATGCGGCAACCTGCGACTTCTCCAGTTTGTCTAATTCATTTCGTAAAAATGTGCTGCAGTGTCGATTCCCTGGAGTATAGACGCACTGCTCTTTATTAGGCAAAATTCTGTACGTTGTTAATTAGCTTGTCATTGTGTCTTCATTATGTCGTTTTCAATAAAATGGCGTTACACTGAGGTCGTCGACGGCTGCATGGTGCACCAGCACGTCCAAAGCCACAGCTCCTAATCTACACAACAGATTATCCCCAGATTAATGAATTCATATTAGTTATTCATATTCTTGTTCTTTATAGAAGATCTACCTTTACCGATGACTGACGTTCAATCGGGTATCGAAAGCAGGCTGCATTATAGTATCTAAGACAATTCCAGACATAGTACGCAATTCAGATAAAATATGTTAAATAAAAATATTTATCTATTGAACAATATGACTTTGAAAATGCACCCGAAAGTATTATAAAGCAGAACACCATCCCGAGAGTTTCTGTTAACGCTCACTTAATTATTTTCAGTATTATTTTCCTGCGTAGCCTGATTAAAGTATGATATTCGTATGCTTATGAAATTCAGCTCAAAACCTACTGTCGCCTTAACGCGGGCGGGTATGTAGATAACACCGCTGTGATGGGCTCTTTGTAGCCTTGCTATCATTCAGGACAGTCAGGTAGTTCTTTAATTACATGTATTTCATGCAGATGTCTGAGCGGAGGGGAGGTGTGGGAAGAGCGAACACATCTGGTGGCTTTAGGATGATGCCGCGATGGATGCAGTGCCTGGAATTAGGCGCACAGACTCAAGTTTGTAGGGCTTTACAGCTGCACCGCAGATCGACTCCCGCACCCGCTCCTCCAACGCCGTGATTTCTAAGATATGATCACAAGTCTGCTTACACAAATATTTTGAGAAGATGCTAAGGTACGTGTAAGAGAAAATGATGAGAAAAACAGCTTCATCTGGGACGGAAACATTTTAATACGAGGTATGTGTTAATGAAAGACTAATAGAATCCATGGATGGACTGGAAGCATTTAAGGTCAGTTGTTCTTTACTTGTATTCAGCAGTTTGCTGAACGATACATTCGTATCCATTGAGTTTACAAACATTAACAGTAAATTATTTTAGCGTAGTTAAATCATTGAATGTGTTCGACAGTAAAAATTAACTTTACACCCTTTAAACCATGGTAAATCGTTTAAAGAAAGGAATGACCATATGATTAATTGCTGCTAGGCTTCTGTTATGAGATGCATAAAGACTTGGCGAATAATTTCCATTCGGGATTTTGGCTGGGATCAGTTGCACAAATTTAATTATAGCGTTTAATTTAATTGCAGCATGCAAATTATAATTATAAAAACCAAGATATCTGTATACGAAAAAAATGTTTATATAGTATGCAAATGATTTTTTTACGTTGACCAACCTTATAAGTGGAAACGCAAATTGTTCCTATTTTTACTTGTTTGGAAATATCCACTTAATTGTGTATACGCTTGGTGATTTAACTGTTTACTTATTGGTGCGGGGAATCAGATTATACAGCTGAGTTCATATCCACACACCAGGCTACTCTGTACCATTCCTGCATACATTCTGTCATGTTGCCAGTTTTGAAACTTTTTCAAAACCAAAGACGTGTTGACTAGTGAATGGGTTACGTCCGATGTTATAATTCATGGCCTTTTTCAGGGGGTAGGGTTAACTTTTTTTACAGGCAATGATTTCCAGCGAATGTTCTCCGTAGTCAGTAGCATTTTCAATTATTTGTATTTAGTATAATATAGTATAATGCAGACAGCTTGTTCTACAAAGAGCAAGTTCATGGAGGCGTAAAAAGAATTTCCCCATGAGGGACAATAAAGGTTAAATTAAATGAATTAACGTAGGCTATGAGAATCCACTTGATTTTTAAAGTTATTGTTTTCTTTCATGGAAAACTGAATCAGAATTATGCATTTGCATGACAAAGAAATTACTTTGCCCTTGCAGAGTTAGATATAAATATTTTGTCAAACATATTGGCTGTTTTTCTTCTTGTTTCACAGTTTGTATATTTTATTTTTTAGGTTTCTTCCGCTCAGTTAAAATTAGGATAAGGTCATTCCCCTGTCTTGCATGGCAATAAACTGACCTCCATGGATGGGAACAAGTAATTCCTTGGCGAGTCTGAGTCAAGTCCAAGCATTGGAGTCCAAGTCAAGTCTCGAGTCCTTGCATATATAAATTCATAATTACCTCTTAATACCTCAGTTTAATTAGCTCAAGCCAGATGAGCCTTCACTGGTTGTACCCTCCATGTTCATGTGTTGTGATATGATGTCACAGAGTAGTTCTGCGGTTTGAGGATGTCTGACAGCTAAAATTACTGTCTTAGATTAATAAAGGAATGCAATCAGGGTGTCTCACTTAATGTGACATATTCAGCTGATCCTGAAACGCAGTTCACAACCCCCCCGTAATTTTAACAGCAGGAGAATGATTTATTTACTTGTCTGTGTCATGGCGGTCCCACCATCTCTTGTTAGACGTCCTTTGAGAGAATCTGTTAAGTGATCCTGCTCCTTCAGGGCTACACCTTCTCTGACAGCATAGCTAACATCTGACAGAGAATCCTCAAGGAGACTGATTTGTTTTGGAAGTTTTTTGAGAAAGTCCAAAATGAAAAATTTTGCACCACACCTCTCTGGGGAACCACCGCCTTCCACATATGGCTACACAATTCTCAAGGGGTGCATCTAATGTCCGGGAGCAAAAATTGATAAGACAACAGTGTGGAACACACACCCACAATGACAAATCGATTACAGATAATTAGCTCTGCTGGATGACAAGTTATAGTCCTGGTAATAAATGGCCTATTAAATGTCATTAATTAAGATATTTTATCCATCTGACAAAACAGTAATTATTTACCCATCAAAGCCACACCGATGTGCAACTTACTGCAGATAGTGAAGAACTGAGTGCCAGTCCAACGAATGGCAGTCAGTCAAAGAGTCACACACACACACACACACACACAATGGTTTGTAATTATATCTTTCTGAGGACTAACCACTCATTTTTATGGGGAAAACTTTAATCCCAGCATGACCACCTTAACCCCTACTCAGCCCTAACCTTAACCATAATAAACCAAACAACATAGAAGACTTCTGGTATTTTTAGTTTTGTATTGCAGTTACAGATTTTTATAAGATTGAGTTTACTGATAAAACGGTGACTACAACATCTGAATAACAGGTTTTTATCACATTGTGGGGAATATTTGGTCCCCACTATATAATATATACATGCCTACACTCTCACCCACCCATGCTCACACACATACAAGACTTAAATAACATTTTCAATTATCTGCTCATATTCATTCAGGGTTAATGTGTTTTCTGCCCTATCTGTACTCCATCAACTGAACTAAAGGCTAGAGTTAAACGGCTGAAAAAGTCACCATTGATCTGCTTTAATTACCAGCCGTCAGTAACAATGGCACAAATATCTTTCCCAAGGCGAACTACGATGTTTAAGCAGGGCTGTTATGGATGTCCCCAGAATATGCCAACGGAGAGTATTAGAACCGTGCGGGCAGACTGTCAGATCCCAGCCAATTTTACACAACTTGAAACTTGCAAAGCTATCGAACAGATGATTTCATCAAAAAATGAAGGAAAAACTTCTCTAAAAATACAACTTTAAAAAAAAAAATTAAATAAATAACAAGCCTGAATCAATTCCCGTTTTGCTGCAGCCGACATTTGTAAGTCCATCAAAATGCTCCATGATTGTGTTCTTTATATTACGCCAATGATCAAAATCTCAGGCATTTTCTGTCGGCTGCAGCACACAGATTTCATTTCTGCTGGTTTAAGGTTTTAGAACCTCAGACTGGCTTAACCTCACAGCCACAGCCATTCATTGGCTCCATTCGGAAGTCTCACAAAATACAGTAAATGAATGTGGTGACATTTAAAACAAACATGTAAATTTTTGTTCCCCACATACCTAGAAGCAAACACATGCACAGGTAGGGGCGGTGGGCCAATGGGGGTGGGGGCTTAGGGTGCCTGAGCACCTGCCCCTTTTGGCTCAACGGGTGAAAGTACCCCTCCTTCCTGTGAGAGACAGTGTAGCTTTGGTTGCGCCACCAACATGAGACGAACACAATTCAGGCATGCAAGGAAAACCTTCCCATTAGCAAAGAGCAGTTCAGAAATAGCACTTCCAATAATGACATTTCAAAATATGAGATAAACAATACCTGCAGTAAATGCAAAACGGTGAGAGCCTTATTATTTACTGTCATTTAGCCTTGATACTCTTCAAGCATCATTGACTTCTATTACTGAACAATGTAAACAGAACTCAGATAAATAAGAAAAGTCAATAACTGAAGTTAGTCTTGAAACACAATGATAGACATTAGCTTTTCCACAAGGACTTCACCAAAGAGACATTTGTTCTCTACTAGAGCCATTTGTAGACCTTGGGTGCATTTCTCGTACATGCATGTGTTTAACTATCATCTGAAGTACGACTGTTTCCCAAAACAGTCCAACTTTGTTAGTACCACAGTAGTTTGAGGAATGTTGGGTGGTAGTACGACACCCCACAAACCAAATCATGGATTTATAACTCAGTGCACACTTGTTACGGACACAGGGCATGGTGCAGGCAGAAAAAGGAGACAGGCCACACAGCTCCAAGAGAAAAGGGGGTTATTAAACAAAAACAGAAAACACTGGGAAAACTACAAAATCAAGGAATCACAAAGGGTCAGAATTAAACATGAGAAAAATCAACTTAAAAGAAAACCAATACGCTAATGTACGAAGGGAAACAGGCAACACCAGAACTAGGCCAAACAACAGCATAATACGCACAGCAATATTAGCACACCGACTCACTAAAGAGTAAAACAAAGGCAAGCACTTAAATACACTGAAAACTGGACCAACGAGGACAGGCAGGTGCGGAACATAAGACAATCAGCCAATCACGGAGGGCGCAGGACAACGATCAACAGATGGAACAATTAAACATTGGCACTGGGAAACAGGCAAGAGGTGGAGTAACTGAATAATAACAAACACAGGACTAGGGAACGCTAACAAAGCACAAACTGGGGATACCACACTAGGAATAGTAACAAGGAAGAAAAATACAAAAAGGGCAAGAAATGACATGTGGATAAAAGGTATACAGCTGGACACAAAGTATCGAAACCTTCAGTGTACAAAACTTGACTTCCTATTAAATTATACTATTTTTCCCAGTCAATGAGTTACTGCTTGCTGATTTACAGATATTTTTAAAGCGAGGTGTCATATTTTACACCCCTCCAGCCTGGATGCAGCTATCTTGCCCCCCTTGCCAATTTATGACACTGTCACCTGCTCTATTCACATGACAAAGCTAGCGAAAAGGTGTGATTAGTCATGATACCAAATCTCACAGTGCCGCTGTCCCGTGATCATCACGATGTAACCTGCCACCCCAAGTCAATGATTACAGCCATCCCTTTGATGTACACACACAAAGTAAAATGAACACATTATAACAAACTGAGCACAATAAGAAAATGTGACTCGTGCTGTACTGACTTCATGAAGCAACTGTAATTACACTGCAACGGTGCTTTACTGAACTGTTACCTGTAAGATCTGTTGTTCATGTCAACAGTACAATTTTAGACATCTAAGAGGCTGTTATTAATGAGCATGACCCATCATAAAGAGACGCGGCAGTAAATTAGCAGCAGCACTACGCTCTGCCTTGAGCTTTAACGATCCCCCTTACCCAATGCACCATTTCCTGGGCCGTAATGAGGTTAGGTGTTTCCGTAGCCCGGCTCTGAGCAGCCATCCCCGTAATGTGATTATGAATAAAGTTTTTCAAAACCAAACTCACAGTGTTTATCTGCCATTACGGCTGTCCTTGCTAGCTTGGCCACAGTTGTCCATCAGTTATGACTTGGACATGAAATCTACACTTTCTTTCAATTTGAAATTCGGTAGGTTCCGCCGAGCGAAGAATCGGGCAGATGGATCCCATGACATAGTTTTTCAAAAGCGTACAGAAAACAATAAAACATACATACTTCAGACAGAGCTCATCTTTTAATTATCAAACATGTATCGTGACAAGAATATATGCATGAGTAATTTTAATACAAAAGCCATTTAATTTGTAGTCGTCTTTGCGAAGATATCTTGAACCATGTTAAACGCAGTGTTCTGTGGCATATTCACCTGAAGCTTGCGTTCTGTTTATCTGTTTAAGGATTTTGTGGGAGTGTCTTTTTGTGCCTTTGAGAGAGATGAGGCCAACCCTGTGTGGGCAGCATTGTGAAGAAGCGGCTACGCTGCCCAGTGTTAGGGACACTGTGTCCAGTGATCCAGTGACCCAGTGAACCCACGACCTGTCTGTATTAGCTTTGGATCTGCACAGTGACATTTCTCTGCCCCTTAATGGCACAAAGCAGCCAGTGGGACGTTTCTCAGAACTGCTCAGATCTCCACCACCTCCTCTGCAACGGCACCATGAACAACAGCCTGGGCTCACACTCACAGAGCCTGGAGGACATTCTCCTGAGTGTCCTTGGGCCTAGAAGGTCATCCTTCTTCCTCCCGGTTTCCCTCACCTACTTGCTCATCTTCACAGTCGGAGTGACCGGTAACCTGCTAACCTGCACAGTGATCGCCAAGCACCAGAAGATGCGCACACCCACCAACCTGTACCTCTTCAGCCTGGCCGTGTCGGACCTCCTCGTTCTCATTTTCGGGATGCCCCTGGAGATCTATGACATGTGGCAGAACTACCCCTTCCCCTTTGGTGAGGGCGGATGCTACTTCAAGATCTTCCTCTTTGAGACAGTCTGTTTTGCCTCTATCCTTAACGTGACGGCACTGAGCATGGAAAGGTACATTGCTGTCATGCACCCTCTGAAGTCCAGGTACGTCATGACCAACCAGCATGCCCGGCGGGTGATCACAGGTGTATGGGTGGTCTCCTTCATCTGCGCCATCCCCAACACGTCCCTTCATGGAATCTATTACCTCTACCTGCCGGAGAAGGTAGCCGAGTCGGCCATATGCAGTCTGCTGAAGCCCTTGTGGATGTATAACTTGGTCATCCAGATCACCACGGTCCTCTTCTACTTCGTCCCCATGACCATCATCAGCGTTCTGTACCTGGTCATTGGCCGACGGCTGAACAGAGAGAACCGGGTGCCGAAGGAGAAACTGGGGGGAAAACGCACGTCTGGGGCAACCTGGAAAATCCACCTGGAATGTGACCGGAGGAGACAGGTCAACAAGATGCTCAGTGAGATCCTTACCGTCTTGCCATCACAGTTGCGGTTCACAGTTTCAACATAACAGGCATACTTACAATATCGATAAACACAGGTACAGGCAGTGCCTGGGTTAAGAACATCAAACTTACAGACAATTTGTACTTATAAATATACTGCCATAAAGCCTATTGCATTAGAAATTCAGGTGAAATACGATGGTTCATAATAACGAACGCATGGACTACTTTGTTACGGTCGTGAAAACATTGCATGGTTTCAGCAGTTTGTTGGCTTGAGGTACAGTACAGTACCATATGTAGTTAGTTTTATTATTACTGTCGTCTACATATGTGATTATGTGCAGAAAGATACTTTCAATAAAGTGCTATAACAATTGTTAGTATAATTCCGACTTACCCACAAATTCGACTTAAAGACAGGCTTAGGGAATGAATCTTGTTGATAACCTGCGGAATCTCTGGAAGTGAAATAACTGAGGTCAATTAACCTGTAACATTTTCGAAGGTCATCTTATAAAGTCACATTCATTATTATAAAAAAAAAGAAACATATCAAATCTGACAGGCCAGAAATATAAACGCATAAACATTTGTGAAAATGCCCACTTCGGTGCTTAATTACAGCATGCAGGCAAGCTGAAACACAGCGAACCACTTTAACACGACTGATCAGTAATTTTGTTGTGCCAAAGTGACAAAGTTTTCCATTGGTCAGGGATAATAGGTAGTTAGAGTGAAACAGATGACAGAATAAGTGTTCTAAGGCTTTTAGTGTTTCTGCACATTCTACACTTGAGCTTGATTGCACTTATTAATAATTTTTGGCCCATGTGCCGCACTTTTGTGCTGGACGTGCAAATTGAAAGCGAATCATGCTGCATTCCTGACATTGATCAAGACTTTCAAATTGTTTTTTTTTTTTTTTATCTCAGGTGGAACATGCAGGATTAATTTGGTTCGTTCAATGAATATGCATTGGTTATGGGCTTTTGAATATTATTGAATATTAGTCACATGTTTAGCTGGCTTGTTCTGTTTGCAGTTGGCTATTTTGCTGGTTATTTTCTGATTAAGCAGATTCTCCCGACACTAAAGGCCATCATTATTAAAATAGGTTGCTCTACATTCTTTGCGATATTTATCGATCCTTATTGAAAGGAAACAGGATGGTATTGTAAGGTATGTAGATACACTGGTGAAACTTTGTCGAAAGGGAACATACTGATAACTGTGGGTTTATTTTTGTATGAAGCTAATGACCGATGTACACAAGTAAAGCCCATTTTGTAAAGCTGCACAGAATTACATATTTGTGGATAACAGATTAAGGCAATACTGCCACTGACTGCCACAGCCAGTTCAGACTGATTAATATGAGAAGGTGGAATTGGCATCGCCGGACACAGCTGCACGGGGGAATATTGAATATGCTCACCTGTCCCATTCAGACATCCAGTTTAGCAGTGCAGTGCACAGACATTTTGGGGGGGGGGAGATGCTCGAAAGGAGGGCGGGACGTAACTCAGTGTAAATATTGCCAACTGGGAGTGGGGGGAGGGGGGGAGGGGTAGTGAGGCCCTCAGTAAATTGTTTGTGATCATCAGTTATGAAAAATGGGCATTTGGAGCTTCAAAAGGGGGACAATTGTTTGAGCCAAAAGGCACAGGTGCCTCTGTACTTATAAAACACCTGTCTTCTGTCTTCCCTGGGGTGCGTGTCCCTACTGTGTGTGAGGTGTGCTGTCCTCTTCCTGCCTCTGTCCCCGTAAGCTTTCAGGCTGATGGTGCCCAGTTTGGATTTACCATCCCACTCCAGTCTCTGCAGAATTCAGAAAGTAGGTGGAGTTAATGAAAAGAGGTGCCCAAGCATATAACCTGATATCTTACAGGAGTGATACATGGTAGTATCTCAGAATAATGAAAGGAAGGTCACTCTAAGGGAATTTAACTGGAAATCTTCAGTTTAATGGTGCCCAGTTCTGGAAAGTCCAGCTTCAGAAAGTACAAATCAAGACAAAATTTTTGTTTCAAGCACATTCAGATTCAGAGACTCGACTGGTTGGTTGAAACAAAATCCTGGTCTGGATTTGTACCTTCTGAACCCTCTGCCAGTGTCCTTGTGCCCAAATGCTGTCTGCTGCCCCCTTGGTAATAACCCAAAAAACTGACCAGCCTGCGTAAATGAGAGCTCATTAACTGGGGTAACCTCTCCCTGCATAGCTGTATGGCAATGGCAATGGCAACTTTATTTATAACGCACTTTCACATAACGAAGTTGACCAAAGTGCTACAAGTGTATCAGAATAAGAATAAATGCCAAAAATAAACTTAAAATCACATCTAAAGTACATTAAAATTAAAAATAAATAAATAAATAAATAAATAGACTAAAAATAATAGAATAAGAATAAAAGTTTAAAAAATATAATAAAAAACACATTAAAAATGTCAACATGTCATGCTGTACCAAAGGCCAAAGTGAACAAATGTGTTTTGAGAAGTAATTTAAAAACAGATGTAGAGGATGCTTGTCTGACATATAAAGGCAGCTCATTCCACAATTTAGGTGCTACCAAAGCAAAAGCCCGATCCCCTCTGAGCTTCCGACTAGTCCTAGGCACACTCAGAAGGAGCTGGTCAGCCGACCTGAGAGACCAAGGAGGTGTATATGGCTGGAGGAGCTCAGAGAGGTACAGAGGGGCAACACCAGGCAGACACTTATAAACAAATAAAAGCAATTTAAATTGGATCCTAAAATGCACAGGCAGCCAGTGAAGAGAGCTTAGAACCGGGGTGACATGCTCATATTTGCAAGTGCCAGTTAAAAGACGTGCAGCACCATTTTGAACAAGCTGCAGTCAAGAAATAGAGGACTGACTCACCCCAGAATAAAGTGCATTGCAGTAATCCAGCCGAGTGGTTACAAAGGCATGGATTACTGTCTCAAAATGCTGTCGTGCAAGAAAGTGCTTAATTTTGGCCAGCTGCCTCAGGTGAAAGAAGCTAGATCTAACTACTGACCGAATCTGGCTTTCAAGCTTTAATTCAGTATCCATTGTAAAACCCAAATTTACAATCTCAGGTTTGCAGAATGATTTCAGAGTTTTCAAATCGACAGAGAGATTGCCAGCAGAACCAGGTCCAAACACCATCACCTCAGTCTTCGAATCATTAAAACAAAGAAAATTTAACGCCATCCAAGATTTGATGTCCTCCAAACATGTTAGCAGAGAGTTCACAGACAGCCCGTCCTTCCTTTTAAGGGGAACATAGATCTGGCAGTCATCTGCGTAACAGTGAAAGGAGACACCATGTCTCCTGAGGATTGAGCCCAAGGGGAGCAGATAAAGAGTGAACAAAATTGGGCCTAAGATGGAACCCTGCGGGACTCCATGAGACAGTGGAGCGCAGGAGGACTCACAATTACCTAGACGAACTGAAAAGGTTCGATCTTTTAAGTAAGACCTAAACCATTTCAAAGCCACGCCTGTTATGCCAACACAATGTTCCAAACGCAAGATTAAAATCTCATAGTCGACAGTATCAAATGCAGCACTTAAATCGAGTAAAATAAGAACCACACTGTCACCGGAGTCACATGATAAAAGAATATCATTAAGAACTCTTAAAAGTGCTGATTCAGTGCTGTGCTTTGCTTTAGCTGTAGTGGTGGTGGTGTTTGCCATCTGCTGGGCCCCCTTCCACGTGGACCGTCTGCTGTGGAGCTCCGTCTCGCAGTGGACAGACGCCATGCACGCCACCTTCCAGTACGTCCACATCCTCTCGGGGGTCCTCTTCTACTTCAGCTCGGCCGTCAACCCACTCATCTACAGCCTGCTGTCCACACGCTTTCGGGAGTGCTTTCGTGGCCTGGTTTGTATCCAGGCAGCCAGAACCAGCCCACCGCCCGCTCCCAAGACCCTCAAGAGCTCCTACACCCTGGGGTCCCACGACAGCAACCGGGCCGGTCCTGGAGCCCAGCCCCCCTCCAGCGTCTCCAATGGCTGCTGGGATCATGACGACGAGAAGATGTACGTATGAGAACATTGAGCTCCTCTTTCGGTCAATGCTACAGTCAAAAAAATGTGGATGACAAGTTTAGTTATGTCTCTGGTATATTATGGTGTTGTGAAGTAAACTACTTATATCAGAAAAAAAATTATGAGAAATAATTTCTTTAATTAACTGGCTCTTTATTTGATGACAGACAGTGAGCCTTCAAAACTCCATAAATGGGATCATCTTGTGCTGTCAATAACAGCTTAATTTTACTGTCTTCCCACTGATTGCTTTCTAAGTTCCCATTGGGTTAAACCAGGTGGTGACTGACAGCCCATAATAATCCCACCCACTGTGAGTTTGTGGTTCTTCCATCATTACCATACAGCTATTTCAAAAAAACATCATCTCTTTGCAAAATGAAATTTACTGTGCGTACACCTGTGTGCTTTAGAGAATGCATGAAGTAGAGAAATAATATAATTATCATTTTAATGATAAAATATACCTGAAGCAGTATTTTTGTGTTTGAATTGACATGCACTGTGGCATAAACCGATGAATTTACTTTAGATGTTTGTGCAATAAAAGAACTGATGTCAGTTTAGCCTGTTTATTTCTGAACATGGTTTGCAAAATTGGCTGGCAAAATCTGTTATTTAAATTATATTAAATGCACAAATCCTCTGGTGAGCTGTTTTGTTTCTTTGTGTCTAGTAAGTTTGTTTTTCGCCCATTCAAATTATGTACCAGTTCCTTCATTTTGTTAGTGAGTTGCTTGGTAACGGTTCCTTGGAAGGAGAAAACATCTCATTCCTTATTTCTACAGAGCCAAGGACATTGCAAGCCATTCTGGCAGCTGATAACAGTGCTTTCTAAATGCAGGCACACTGCAACCACATACATTTCAGTGGAAAAAGACACTGCTGGATGAAGCTGTCGGATGTCCTTCCAAGCGGCCCCCTTGTCTTGTTTTAGGATCCACTGAGAGAATTGTTCATCATGTGATTTATGGAACCAAATATCTTTTTTAAAGAGCATTTTGCAATGGTTTCACTTATTGCCAAGTTTAAAAATGCCAGATTTTATTCCCGGGATTTAATATCCTTCAGTAAAGATGACACCTGCACCCGTGTTCACCTTGCTCAACCAGCAATGAAGGCAATAACTCTTTCTTCTTTTTGAAAACAGAAGGTGTAGTTGGAACTCTGTGTTTTGCATGGTGATGACCGGCATGATCTGAGCTGTCGTCCTCAGTTTTAGGTGTGACTTTAGAGCGCTGGGATACACTAATTAATGCCTGCATTTTTTGCCTTACTTAGAGGTGGTTTTCCAAAATCATTTTGACAAAGGAGCAAAGGAGCATAAGGGGGAAGATGATCCAGGTATATAAGATTCTAATACGATGCTAATGAACGAATTAGTTACTTCAATATTAGTTCAAATATAAGAACTTGTGGCCATTGGTGGAAATTAGCGGGAGAACATTTTAAACTGGATTTGAGAAAGCACTTCTTTACACAGCGTGTAGTTAGAGCATGGAATAGTCTTCCTGCTAGTGTAGCGGAAGCTAAAACCCTGGGTTCCTTTAAATCAGAGCTAGATAAGATTTTAACAACTCTGAGCTATTAGTTAAGTTCTCCCCAAATGAGCTTGATGAGCCGAATGGCCCCTCTCATTTCTAAATTTCTTATGGTCTTATTAAATGAGTTTCTTTCTTAAATAATTCATCACAAATATTACATTCAAGCAGACTTTTAATATTTCTTCAGTGTAGAAATGTCTCTTTTGCAATATTAGTGTAAGAAGCACCTATCAAGCCTTATAACTCTTCTACAGACTTCACAGAGAAATCACCAAAGTCAGAATCATAATATAAGATTTGATGTAATTTTTAGACATTTATATACTGTGAAAGTTTAGTGCAGGGGTACTCAAAAAGTGGATAACAGTCCGCATCTGGACGAAATGTACAATCAATCCACCCGTGGCTAGGAAAATTTTATCAGGGGCAGTGAACCTTTGTGTTGATGATGGAATTTGGCCCTTGGGGAAATATAGTTGGGTACGTGTGGTTTACAGCATAGAAACTGGGGATTAAATCTACCAGGGTCATAGTGGCAGATCCTGGTAGGGGCAACATGGGCAACTGCCCAGGGCAACATCTTCTGAGGGGTCAAAAACTGTTACCTGCTTTCGACAACTTTATCCCCTAAAACTTTTCCAACCACCCATCAGGGATGAGGTAACCTGGGTGGTATACAGAGAAGCTTGGGCTTAGGTTGATGTTCCAGAGTCTAAGAGTCACAGTTCTCTGCTTCCTTCAACTGTCTTCCTGAAAAACACATTCATCTGCCACAATAGCAGGAAACCATCCATTCATCCATTCATTGTCCAACCCGCTTATCATACTGGGTCACGGGGGGTCTGGAGCCTATCCCGGAAGCAACGGGCACGAGGCAGGGAACAACCCTGGATGGGGGGCCAGCCCATTGCAGGGCACACTCGCACACCATCCACACCTAAGGGCAATTTAGCAACGCCAATTAGCCTCAGCATGTCTTTGGACTGTAGGGGGAAACCGGAGTACCTGGAGGAAACCCCACAACGACATGGAGAGAACATGCAAACTCCACACACGTGACCCAGGCGGAGACTCGAACCCAGGTCCCAGGCAACAGTGCTCCACCGCACCACCATGCTGCCCATAATAGCAGGACCCCCTCCATCACAATTAAAATTTTTAAAAGAAGTTCCAACATATTCAGAGACAACTATTTTAAATATACCATCAGTCTTAAATATATCCATCCATCCATCCAACTTTCTGAAGTATATGCACTGCTGGCAGGGAGCCTGGAGCCTAGTTTAAGAATAAATCTCACAAAGGGATATTCTGTTTCTGCTTGTTCTGGAAGCAAGTGCAGTGCAAAATTAATGTTGGGTAAGTCATCAGTCTTTTTCTCATCAATGTCCACACGTAAAAAGCCTATATTATATTAGCTAGTTTTCGTTAAATTGAGTCCTAAATGAGGACAAATTTCTGCATGAAACTATAGTTAAAACTTTTATAAATGACTGACTGGTATTTTAACATGCTAGGATATGGCTCATATTTTTTTTTTTGCAGGGTTCACATATTAAGACACCTTTAAGTGGCACTTCCTGCTGAGGATGAGAATGTGACTGAAAATGCTGCCTTGACGACCCATGAGTCTCCTGGTCTTCCCAGCATCCGCAGTAACTATAGCATCATGTGAATGCGCCGTGGTGGCTAACCTACTGTGGCTAAGTCCGCAGTGCTGATTTACCCGCCGTAACTAACGTAATGGTGATATTGGGGCTACTAACACCATAAGATCGAAACTCACTCCTTGGCCTTCCCCAAAACTGCCACAAAATCTTGGTTTGGAATTGAAAAAAGAAGGAAAATTTGCATTTAGCATGCATGCTAATGTTAAGTGAATCGCAAGAATGCTACAAGGATTACAGGCCCCCAGAAATGGGCCTTGATTTCAGCGTTTCATAAACATGTCGCGGCGACACATTTGTGAGGCGGGTCTTCAAGCTCTAGAGAACAAGGGGAAGAGAGAACAAACTCGCACCTAGCCTTGTGCTATGCACTTTGGCTGGCTGTGAAGGAGACGGATGAGGCCTGTGCTAAAACACAACAGCTGTGAAGGAGCTCGATCAGCCACTAGTTTAATGTAAACGAGCCTTCTGTGAAGCCGCCCCTCCCATTTTGCTTCTGTAACTCCCCATCAAACAAATGGCAGGTGTGAGAAAAACCCCTAAAAACACCTTGCAGTCATATGACAGAAAAGTGGAAAGTGATGTCAGAATTAGAAGATCGTAACTCATCATTTTACAGACATTTATAGTTTATAACTAGAACTGTGTAGCAAAAAGGAACAATTCAGGCAAATGAAAATCACACTACATTAGACTTTTAAAATTCCTTCTGTTAGCTTTTCTAATTTTAGCTTTAGGAGTTAAATGCTAAAGATAAAATAGCAGACAGGCATTTTCAATGGAAGAGTCACTATTTGGTCACACTGTTAAGATGCAGTTGGTTCGGATCAGATGACATTAATAATGCAGGGGTGGCCACCACTGAAAAGACTGAAGACAAAATCCTGTAAAGCAAGTTGAGTCAAACATTTTTATCTGTCTAAGAATGCGTAAGTGTTGCAGTAACTACCACAAAGACGCAGTCACTTGGCTGCAAGCAACAGATTTCGGAAAAGCTTTTCTAAAATCATTATTGGTACAGGATTTGGGGACAAGTAGGGAACCAAACCAGCTTCAGAGTAAAGCAGAACAGAATCTTCAGATTTATACAAATAACTGAAAACATGGGATAAGTGAAACTAATCTGTAATTCCATTCTTCAAAATCATTACCCCAGACAGAAATGGCTAAAGAGCTGTCAAAAAAAACATCACTCTATTACTATTTCGACCTTTTCCCCCAAAGACACTTTGGAGATAAGCTGCCTCTTTCTTCAAACTATACAGGTAATTTCACAACGAACCGATTGAAGCGAAGTTCTCCCTGGCAGAGCCGTCCCAGATTCCACTCACGTCTCCCTTACGAGTGCAGTGATCCTGCGTATGTCATGCATTTTGAGTCCCGTTCGGTTACAATACAATACCAAAGAAAGGGCATGACATTTTATATAGGCTTTTTTCTTGAAAATCTTTCAGACCATATCCTATTGTCTAAGTATCCTGGAATCCACTGTTGTCATATCTCTCTTCACAGAATCTCTAAATTATGCAGCTCTGTTGCTATAGCATACAGTAACTCTGCTTTCTCACACACATTTCCGGACCCAGTTATTTGGAGGGACTGTTCGATTAGCCAGTCGTGAACACATCCACGTTGATGGTACAATGTCCCTCGCTTGTTTGTTCACCATTTCCATCCTTGAGACATTAATTAGCGAACGCTGGCCTGTGGGAAATGCGGAGCACGTTGTAGGTGTTCAGGCCTGGGGCGTCGAAACCCAGAGAGATGCCCTTCTTGTCAAAGACGTGGAAATTGATAAGCTGCCCATCCTGAGCCTCTAAGGAAACGGCGGCAGAGCTGACCCTTAAGACACAGGGGTATTCTTTCTCAAATGCCACCTTAAAGACTCTGTCCATCAGGTAGTCCAGCCTTATCGTCCTGTACCTTTCCGGGATGAGCTCCTCGATTTGAGGGCCGAACTGCTGCATGACGAGGACCCCGTCCGAACCGGCTCTGATCTCGTAGAAGGTGATGTTTCTGTAGGTGAAGAATCCTACGTAAGGCGATGGGTTGGGAGGTGGGGTCAGGACATGTTTGGCATCTCTGAACGCCCCCTCCATGGCAGGGATGATGTGACTGTAGGCTTTGGCCACCATGTCGTCATTCTTGGGCCGGGACCCAGCCATGAGGACCACCAGGCCCAGCTTCAGTCGGGGCACCAGGGAGAATGTGGCAGAGTAGCCATCCAGGTCACCGTCCTTACGTAAGACCTCATACCCGAGCTGCTCGTTCACCTCCCAGGGAGTGCCTGTGTGGTTGGCGAAGTAATCCTTCTCACAGCGGAATAGGGGCGTCAGCATGACTTTCAGGGTATCGGGGTCAAGAAGCTTCTGATGGTAGGCCCCAAGCAGCACCATGGCCAGCCTGGCCATATCTGCAGTCGTGGAGAACATCTGCCCCGATGGCCGGTACCAGCCCAGGTCATACAAGGGCGCTGGTTGCCCACTGGTATACACACCCACAGCCATCTGGATCTGGACACCAGGTGTGATGTCAAAGCCTGTGTTCTCCATACCTAGGCGATCCAGGATGTTGTGGGACACCCAGTGCTGGTAGTCAAGCCCAGCCACCTTCTCTGCCAACACGTGAGCCAGCAAAGAAAATGCTAAATTACTATAGTGGCACCTAAAAACAACAAAAGGTCACCACTGTGAAACTGGAATGATCGTCATTAAATAAATGCGCAGTGATATGGTGCTTTCAGAAAACCTTACTTTGTCCCTGGATCTGCAATGAGAACATCATCTTGCAACAGATTGACAGCTGCCTGCGTCTTTCCCTTCCACAACAGGTTGGTAGCCCTGAGTCTTCTGGGCAATCCTGCATTAAAACAAGGGCCCCAGATTACAATACATAGCCGCTAGCACCTACTGAGATGTAAATGGTCTCGGAAAGATTATACAGCCCACAGAATCTCCCAAAATTGGCCTGACTCCAGTTAAATTGAAATTCTCAGTGGAAGCTCGTTACATGATCACAGAGTTGTAAAGTAACAAAGTACAAAAACCATGTTACTGTACTTAATTAGGTTTTTTTTCAGGATTTGTACTTTAGTAGGCTACTTTAATTTTAACTCTAAATCATTCTGCAGAATCATCCTTCTGTACCTTAAAAAATACAATTGTATGCAGCACACTTGACAACTGTGGGTTAAATATGAATCACAATTTCTTCACTCAGAATTGAGATTTTCCTGAGCAATTTATTATTATTATTATTAATAATAATAATAATAATAATAATAGTAATAATAATAATAATATTTTGCATTACATATTGTATATTCTTTATGAAGATGGAAGAAACAATACTGAAATTGCTGTCTGACATTTAAACTTTATCAATATTCAAAGCAGCACTGAAAGAATACTGAGTATGCATTTGATGATCAGTTGTCTTCCGTGGTGGAGAAGGGTTTTAATCCGCTAATTCAACCACACACAAGAGGTCTAAAGGTATATACATGTTTATAATTAATTATTAAATCTGGCCCATAGATCGATCTTGTTTTCCACAGAATAAAATTGTCATTCTGCTAATTTGCTCCAGAAAATATGTGACTCAATTTTCCTTAAAGTGCTGCACTGTAACTTCAGCCTGTCATGAGTGAATTTAATAGGATAGGTTGTTTTTTTGTAAAATCAATAAATTTGAATGTAGCACTTCTTAAGGTATTTTTTTGCTTTTACTTGAGTTGTTTTTTACGATAGCCTATGTTTACTTCAGTAACATTCTGGTGCATTGTCTATACTTTAACCTAAGTATGAAATTTGAGTACTTTTTCCACCACTCCATGATTATGTGTTACAGATGTAAATCAGGTAGGAATGGAATACAGCCAGTCCTGCTGAATTAGCCACATACTTTGATGAACCTCAGTCAAGTTCCTCTAGACATTTCCCAGTGTCTTGCTGCGGTTGTCTTGTGATGAGCCTGTTAAGCCACTTAAAATAAGCAATTTATTAATCAATTTAAGTGTCCACCTGTGAATATTTTGATTATGGGACGTTTGTTTGAACATGTGTTTACTGCCAGTCAGGGACAATACTCTTACAAGGCTGTTTGTTTCTGTTTACACACAGATCAGCTCACAACAGTCCATTCAATTCATTTTCCTTGTTTTCCTCACTGTCTAAACTTGGGGTGAGACATCTCAGAGACAGGCACTACCAGAGCATATACTCTAATACATAGACCGATATTTTCTGCTTTTTAACATGTCAGTCTTGCTTTCTGGTCCTCACGGGGAAAGTAGAAACGTCAATGGCAAATTCCCGGTTGTGAAGCATTGCTTCAGGACTTTGTGCCTTGAAATCATCACAAAAAAGAGGACGGCAAGAAAAGTTAAGGGGAACATAAGGGACATAAGACTGTCCACCGAACAAATCTCTAAAGCCTGCTACTTTTTGAATGCAGAACTACAATACAACATAGTTTGACAAAATTCACCTCAGCAATAGAAAGCGTATAGATTGCTGGAGTGCCATTTATATTCCTGTGCTTCCTTGCGACCTCATCAGAAGGCAGACTTGCTTTCTCACCAACTATACTGACGTCAGAATCAGTCAGCACACAGCTATTTTAAATTCATCGTATGATGAGGTGTTAGTCTCAACACCCCAATGCTGGTGATATGGTGAGAGTTCAAATCCAAAGATAAAACACTATTTAATCCTAAAGGGTGTGTGTGCTTCTCATTGTTGGCCTAGAAAAACTAAATTCTGTCGCTAAGATTAAACTTGAATATGAACTTTTACTAAGGAACTTACAATATACACATGTTTTTTTCTGTTCTATTGAAGTGTCTTTGGATGTAAGACCTTAATCATAAAGACACAGATGACTTCCTCCCCACGTTGCAGATCTACAAAACCTCTGTTGAGCGTGATGCTGTATCCACAGCTTCACTGTTGTCCCCTTACCAGAAAGTTGACTGGCCATCCTGCGGAGGGTGACGGGGGAGGACCGGACATGTGCCTCTCCACTGTCCAGGAAGATCAGGCCATCTGTCACATACTTGTGCTCTGTATCCTGGGTCTTCCCCAAGGGGTTCTTTATGGTGAAGTTCTCCACATACTTCTCCAGGGGGTCGTCTAGGGACCCAACCTTTCCCTCTTCCCACAACTTGTAGAGCATCAGCGTTGGGAAAATCTTAGACAGGCTGGCTATCCTACAGGGAAGCAGACTAAATGCTAACTCATTAACTGCACAAGAACATCCTCTCCCATTTTATTCAAAGTCAAGTATTTTAAAATACAGATCAGACTTCTCAAACCACTTAGAAAGGAATCTCGAGTCAACATGATCCGGTATTAGTTTACCGAGGTCAGATTTGCATTCTTTTCAGCTCTGAATTGCAGACTGAAGTGCAAGATTATGTTTCTCATTATACGGCTTTTAGAAAACTGTCTTTTCTGCTTCTATCAATTTTGACTCGGTTTTTAAGTTCTGAAAGATCACAGAGCCTCTCCTGTGTCTGATGTTCAGACAGTGCTGGTCTGAATTAATTTATCCTTTATTTGAGAGCATACTAAACCGTCTTATGTGCTCTAGCATCTGTCTGCATACCAAAACTAGTTTTCTGGTGTAGTCAGGAGCTAATTGAAACACACACTGATAGACCTGTAAAGTTGCTTTGGATTTTTTGGCCTCGTCATATTCTGGTATTCCCTGATTGTGAATTGACACTGGATGCTCCTGTGATTCAACTGCATAAAGACTCATTAAAGAGCTGTCCTGTGATGGACTGGCGTACCATTCTGGGTGCCCCCCCTCTGCCTTGTGCTTCCTGGGCCAGCCTGCAGGCCCACTGTCACCCCGTACTTCACACATGCTAATACGAAAAACGAGGCCAGAAAATATAGCATATTGCTGTGCTTGGGTGGCAGGCAATTATTCCACTGTGATAAGTGATTGTGGCATTCTTCTTTAATATCAAGGTAACACTAAAGTCCTGTCCTTGGAGATGTGGAAATGACAGCACTTCTGATATAGATGAACCCAAAGGGATCAATTATATACAACTTTCAGGTTAAAAATCCATGGACATTATTCAGTACTATAATTAATCATTCTTCGCTATGTAACTAAATAAACAAAACGATGCTAGCTATGATTGCAATAAAGTCATTTTGATTAAAAACAAAACACAGATACAACGGAAAAATAGTTGCTCTACTGAAGCAAACGAGACAATATTTTCAAACGAAAACAAAACATTGGCACTGCATTGGCTGTCATGCAGAAACCTGTAGCTTTCAAACCCCGGTGAACACCAATGTGAGGATTGAAGGGAATATTTTGCAAAAAAGGAAATTCCTCACGTCTGAAATAATGTAGCAGCCAGAAGATGGTCATGGTCCGTGGTCAGGCAGAATGTTCATGAAAGCCATGTGATGAAAAGGCTGCAATTTCATCACTGATCTAGCATGCATGTATGTTGTAAATGAACAGGCTATGGTACAGAATGCATGGTGTGCTGTGATCATTAGCAATTAGGCTCTGTTTCACGGCCAGGTGGCTGAATTATTTGCGACCATAAAAAGTGGAGCCATATTTCAGGATTCATTTTTGCCATCTCTGTGCTAATCTACGGCATCATCTGCTTCTACCTCCCTAATCTTTCCACTTCCCAAATGGTGCAACGACTAACAGAGAAGGTCAGGAGCGTCTTTGTCTCTCACCTGTATATCGTATACTCATTCGGTTGAGTGGACAGAGGGTCACTTCCATTCATCTTGCCAAAATTTCCTATCCAGAGCACCGTGTCGTTGAAGATGACAATGGCTGACAGAGCCGGAAGACTCAAAGGGTCGACGATATGCCTAAAGACAGAGTCCACCTGGGTGGATCACAGAATTCTGTGTTTAACCCTTTTTACACTTTTTTCCCGACGTTCACAAATATTGCAACTTTATGCTGCAAGGGTCCTGCGGGGCCCTTTAGGTCACATTCGAGGCAGCTGTCTATGTCTCAATCGCTTCACCGAAGTTCACCACCAGTCACTGATTTGCTCCGTCACCAACTTACTTTTTCTTGGGTGAGGTTGACAAGATGGTTACAGGAATGCTGCCTACCTTCTCCAGCGCCACCTTCAGGCTTGGGATGGGATGCTGCAGAGGCATGGGCTCTGGGAAGCGTGGACACATCCTCTCTGCCTTGGTACTGCTTCCTGTGCTTCCATCTAGAAGAAAGAGGGGAGGTGAGCCTGCTGAATTATCTGCTGCACGGAAGGCCTGTCAACGGCAAATAAATAATTAAAAAATGTGGGTACTTGGTTGGGTTTGGTTCGCATTTTTACTGTTCATTTGGGGCTATTTCTATAACAAATGCTTTCATTTGATGGCAAAATACCAACTAATTGTTTCTTATGAAATTGAATTGTTCCTAAAATTCACCAAACAAGCCTACATCCAAGCCCACAAGTTTCCATAGTCTTATCTGAGAAGGAACAGGAGGAACTCAATAAGTTACAACTGAATGTAGACTACTATGGAGCTCATGGGGAAAAAAATAATAATTTACTTTTAACTTTTGTCTACTGACCCTTTAAGAAAACAGAACGCTTCACATAGCACCAGGAGCACGTAAAAAAGCACACAGAACAGCAATAGGAATATGTTTTACCAAACACTAACTCTTTAGATTATTTTACACTATTACCAAGAATACCGTCAGCGTATTTCACAGAGGTTCACAAAATAGTTACAGGACCAAGCAAGAACAGGCCAAAAATGTACTCTGATGCTAAAAATGCTGGTAAACAGCATGTAATATTGACTTAGAACCAAGTTAAAACTGTAGCGTAATCTAAAAATAACTTCAGTTGGCTGTCTTAATCATGTTAATCCACCACTAGGCTGGATTTAAGCTTGGAGCCAAAGGTGATTGTTTCAGAACCACAAACAGAAGCATCCAGACTCCTTTTGCTTCTCTGACATATTTGACCAACTGCTATCTAGCGCAAGGTCCTCTAAGACACGTTCTTATCGTTATGTTCAAAATGAATTGTGGGGCTGATTCCACAACAGTCCATAAAAGCTCGTATTTTCATCTTAAGATTCATTACCTATAAACATTTAATTAAGTGTGTCAAGTTCAAAGACTGTGAGAGTGTGAAGTTCACACAGTCAGCCGGAACTAATTCATGAATATCCCTTTTAATTATAATATCCCATCCAATTCCTATATCTGAGCCAATGCTTCCACGGTCATTTTGACAACCGCCTTTGGCAGATGAGTTGCCTTTCCCTGCTCACAGACACAGCAGCAAAGACATTTCTGTCGGTTTAATCATTCCGCTCTGTGGACTTTCATGGTTCTTGAACAATTGGCTTTGGGAGCAGATAACAGGGAAACCAACAGCAGTAGATTATGGAGGTGAATTCTGGAACTGGGTCTAAATGCCAGTTTATGGGGACAGGAGGAAGGCATGTGAGATGTTAGGTTCACCTGGCTCCAATTTCGGTAGCTGGTATTGCCAGAAGAAGCAGCCAGTCATGATGAGGGAAAGCAGCAGAAAGAATATGAGCCCCAGCTGTGTCCACTTCACCTTCATCCTCCCAGTGATGGTCAAGTGTCTCACTGGTCCAGCTGGGCCTTGCTAGGTAACACAGGCGGCTAACAGGTTAGACTTCAAAGACCCATAGAGTCACAATGTCTCTTCATCTGGAGATTAATTAATCAAAATTTCTCACACATCAAGCCACATATGACAAAAGAATTGTAAATGCCTAATAATTATTTTAATATGAAAAATACAGCAGACACAGGAAATGTTAAAATTCTTGAAATTTGAAAAGAAAAATTACTTCTAACTTTTTAATATATTTGTTTTAATTAACTAACGCTAACAGTAGGCTTAGTATCGAGTATATAAAATGAGTTTTTATAGCACAGAATTATGGCATGACTGTAGATCACAGTGAATGGGACATGCATATCTAGAACATACTTTCACAAGTTTATGGTGTGCCGTCCGCTATACTATAATGCTGATTTTATTATTTTTTTATTTTTTAACCCCTGTCATGTCCGGCAGTTTAGCAAGCAGGATGTTAGTCTGGGTGCTTTATTGTGCCGACACTTTTATTTTGACAAGTGGAGCTTCGGATTAAGCTCCTCTTGTTACTTGAGATATACTCTTCATTCACCGTTTTAGATTATTGTGCCACAAAGCCGGAGCTGACAGGGGAAGTTAACTGAGGTAGAAGAGATAGAGAGAGGAAGAGAGGAGGGAGAGAAAGAGGAGAGAGAAGAAGAAGAAAAATATATAAATAAATACACAAAAAAATTATTAAAAAAAAAGGGGGGGTCAGACAGAGAGAGACAGGGAAAGAAAAATAATACATGACAATTGAAGAAAAAGTAGAGCAAAAAGGAAAAAATAACAAAAGGACAGCTTCTGCATCTTACTGCTGGACATTATGTCATCACACCATCACAAGATCCAGGTGCCACACAAACAGTATACATACAAAGAAACCAATGGTACCATTATGATAGGGAATACACTTGTGCCAGTATCTGCTTCTGGAACTAAATATGCTGATTTTAAACAATGAGTTTCCCAGGACTTGGCTGTAAATTGTGACCAAAAAAAATCTACAGTTTTAACATTCACTGTACCTGAAATGCAACATGAAAAGTGACACACTGTTAAACTGAGCTCAATGACGTTAATTTATGCTCCAGTCAATGTCACTTACCAAAATGCTGATTATGCCTTGTAAGGAAAAACCAAAACTGGAAGTACAAAAGAGTTTTTTTTAATCCACAGAGACCACTCCACAGCAGCTCTACCAGAAACACTTTTCAGACCAGAAGTTCTACATCCAGAAGGCCACTTGCAGTTTGTTGGTTAGGAGGGGAATCTGATCCGCCCGAAGCAGTAGGTCTCAGACTCGACCCAACCCACTCAAGGGCACTTGAATCCTAGCCTTCAATGCTTGCCAGGCAATTCATTTTCCTCCCCACCAGATACAGACCTTGATGCCATAATCCATCACTCAGATTAAGAGCTCAAACAGGCTGGCGAGAGCGAAGGACTCATAATCTCTAATCTCTGCAGATCAGTCTGCGACAGTCACAGCTACGCAGCCGGGCCACGTGATTTCAGCACGACCTCCTCTGTCCACGTCAGCTTGGGATCACGCCGGTCCCCGGTTAAAATAAGAGATGACACAGTACTGTCAAGCCACGTTATCTAGGGACACCAAGATGAGCTCTTACGTGTCTCTGGCGCTGAACGCAGCCGCTGGATGATCCGACGTGGCATTACTGCTGACTGGGAACGAACACTGCCAATACTAATCTAAGTGTTTTCTTCTGAGTGTTGAAGAACATTGACTTAGTTAGTGGACTGTTAGTGTGTCTTTGATTATAACAACGGTGATGCGGCAAAGGGAATTTTTTTTGGTGGAAGCAAGGCTTAAATGTCCTGTCTCTCGAAAAAAAAGTTGCCTATTTTCAGGAAGTCAGACCCAGGGACTAAGAAAGGCAGGTGATAACCACTGTAAATATCCACCAAGATATGACTGGGAGACATAGGCATCGGCCGGCAGGAAAGCATTAAGGGTTAGAGGAGTTACTTTCTATACAAGACCTTTTACAATTGCACTATTCTAATAATGTCATCTACAGTACCATGCAGTGTCAGCAGCCCTTAAATGTAATGCCAGGCTTGCTCGGTGCTGATGGGTCAGTCTTTTATAGTCACGCATGTGTCACTAATGTTAATATGAAACAGTTGGATGAGTCTTTCAATCAAGGAAACAAACGAGTCAACGTGCAAGCACTGAACTATTCAGTCAAGCGCAAGAGCCTTTCAGTTTTAAAGAAGTTCGTAAAACCCTAAGCAGCTCAAAGAGTCCTCCCTAACATGGAAGATATGGTAAGACTATTTTACAGCAATGCGTTTTTAAACTTACATGTGAAGTATACGGTAACTATTCCTTAGGTAAAAGTAGGCTTGGTAAAATTATCCGACCAATGGGAGTGAAGCAGGAGACGGTATGGATTTATCCCGGTTGCATAACATCCCGATGCACGTGCGCAGCGCAGCGCGGACGGAAGGGACAGGACAGCACGCGTGCATAGACGTGCGGTCGCATAGATACGTGCTTAGGACATTTCACCAAACAGCCGAACCGTGACAAGGAATGCTGAAAAAGACCAGTTCTTTAACATGTATCACACGTATCATTCTCCTTGCATCAGGAAAGATACGAAAACTGTTGTTGACAAATGGCTGGTTGTGGGACGCAGCCAATTACCTGCGACTGCAGTCCGTCCGCGCAGATCTCCCGCAGCACTTTGCTTCCCACTTTACCCATGACTGCAAACGGCGAGAACTGTCTGAGTCGTCCCTTAAAAACGCCAAAACCTACAAAACATGCATATAAAACAATATACATATCGGCTCAGTCTATTACATAATTAAAATGATACGGATAGTTTACAAGCAACACGCGCTAAATATGAATGAGATGCGCAATCACCGATGCTGGTTGTGCTGTTTTTGTCTCCTTATGCATTATTGTTGTTTCATAAAAGGATAGGCTGATTATTACAAATTCCCTAGACATCGACACCGAACACAACAAATCGGACTGACTAAGCACTTCGGTAATGGGCCTAGGGACTGCTGTTGTTCAATTTCACATAAAATATGCCTACCTACTTTGTCACTCTTTGTCAACCTTGTAAAATAGATGTTTTGGCAAAACCCTGTATTACACGTACGCCTGGAAGAGGCAGCCACGGCGGTGATCACAGCCCAGGGTGCGGGCGACGGACCTGTCATCAACCTGTGATGAAGACTCAATCAGAAACCCTTAAACTGTACACTATGATTTTAGCTAATTGTCTGTCACTGATCGAGTTAAGTCTATTACATTGATAACGGAGTGATTTTTCCATCAGTTATAAACGGGGAAATATCACTATAAGTCGTAATTATTTATTAAATAAATACAAGAATTAAATACACTTATCCGTCGATTTGCGTCCGTATTTGGGACCATCGGACGCAAGTGAGCTTGATAGTTATTTGGGAGAGGCCAAAAGTTAAGTGCAGTACTGTAATATACACACAGCAGGCCTACTCTACAGCAAATAATAATAAAAGTATAAAATCACTAAATTTGCCCAATAAACTTTAACAAAACTTCATAATAAAAAATACATTACTCTTAAAATTAACCAAAATACTGCACAGAATTTCACTATCAAATAAACTGCGGGGAAATATTTTATTGTATAACAACTTTGTTGTCTCGAGATTACTAGAAATATTTGTTGTGATATAACGGTAATAAAAAAAATGATGGCGCGTGTCCTCTCTGGACTTCCTTACTTTTGCATCATCGACGATTCCCCCCTCCCCCCGCCCCGCACATATAATCAGTCTTTAAATTATAGTACTCCAACTTTATGACATGAGAATCTAAACGGCGGCGGTGGTGGTGGTGGTGGGGGGTTTAATACATACTGCGACGTTCCTTCTGTCAATTACTCTCCAAGGGACAATTTGTGCAGTCGTTATCTTTGATTAACGAGTGTTAGTCTGAAGTCTTACACTCCCGTTTGTTTCCATTTAATCAGAGTGCAATTTTTCCGGGCTTGTAGTGTAATATCTCGTCAGCAGTCTAGTTCAGAAGAACGTCAGTATTTCTATTAATTAAATGACATGCAATTTGGTGCTTTTTAGATTTTCTTCCTATGAATACTTTCACTTTCCTGGCTTTAAATGAGCCTTTGTACGTAAACATCCGTTACACAATGTTTAGGCTCCGCAATCAGCTCATTGCCCGGCTGCAGGGATGTAATTCAGTTGTTCCAGTTCATCCGATTCGGCGATGATTGAAGCTAAAGCCCTAAATGTAAAACGGACCTGAGCTGCATTTTTACTTTACCACTGTCATTTACGCCCACATTTTGCCGCCGTTAAAGTCACGAATCATTTGGTGTCATTATGTTATTGGTAAAATACGAGAGTGACGATTTAACAAGCGCGCTCATGTATAATGTTTGGATTTCAGAGCTACGTTCGTGAAAAGTTTTCATTACTTATATTAAATCCAGGCGGTCGACCATCGATTACTGTGACGTTTACATTTACGGGTTTAAACGTATCTTTTACTATAAAACTAACAGATAATCACGTCTTTTCAATAATGCCCAAAAGTCTATTCAACTCTCTCTCATATGAAAAGGTTTTTGAATGCATGTTCACCTGTCATTTTCTGGAATATTTGTATTCCCCCAAAATATATCACCTCAATTTTCTTGATCAGGCCAAAACATCTTCCAGTAAGAGGGTATCATTCTGACTATATTAAACTAAAATAGTTCCAACAATACTGACGCTGAGCAGAATGTAACATGGTTTCCCTGATGCACCTTAATTGTCCTTTCCTGTTCACAATGTCAGCGACTTACCAAATACCTCGATCACCCTTTTCGAATGAACCACACGCCTCACTCCGTCTCCCCCTCGCCACTGGACTGCGGTGGCTGGACAGACACTGACTGTGGCTGAAAGTTAAATCTCATGTCCGACTGTCCCTGCTGGATCTGGGATTTACAGGGCCTGCTCCGCGGTGACATCTGGCAAAGCTGGTGAAGAGGGTGTTTTGTGCTTGGCTGGGTCACATGCAGGGCTGTCCTGTGTGTCTGTGTTTGGCTGCATCATAAAGAAGACTGTCTGTTCTGCTACATCACAGCTGGAGGGATGTGTATTGCTTATTTAGTGCTTGGGAATTTTTTTTTATGAATCACTAAAGTTTTTGTCTGATTATTTCCTGGAAAAATATTATTAATGATCACCTCTTTTAGCTGATAAAATAGCTTTGTTGCTTGTCATTTTTAATAGGGTAAAATTCTGAATTTGTCCATCAGAGCTCTTCCTGACTCATATAAGGGGCTGCGGACAACTTCAGTGAATCTAATTACTAGTCCATCCATCCATCCATTTTCCAAACGGCTTATCCTTCTGGGTCACAGGTGGTCTGGAGCCTATCCTGGAAGCTACGGGCACGAGGTGGGGAACAACCCAGGATGGGGGGCCAGCCCATCACAGGCACATTCACACCTATGGGAAACTCCAATTAGCCTCAGCATGTCTTTGGACTGTGGGGGGGAAACACCACGGAGGAAACCCCACGACGACATGGGAAGAACATGCAAACTCCACACACATGGAACCCAGGCAGAGACTCAAACTCTAGTTCCAGAGGTGTCAGGAAACAGTGCTAGCCACTGCGCCACCATGCCACCCCCCTAATTACTAGTTGATTGCTTAATTAGTGGATTGCCAGAGCACCTCCCCTTTTGCCCAAATGATCGAAAGTGCTTCACGTAAATTTTACAGAAGGGCACTGCCCAAGCACCTGCTCCTTGAAAAGTCTCTGCATACGCCTAACCCTAACCTATCCCTAACCCTAACCCTAACCTATCCCTAACCCTAACCTATCCCTAACCGTAACTTTGGAGTGCCTACATCTTTGCCTGGTGTACTTGTTGCTCAATCTTGGGGTTATCTGTCTTTGAAGCCGCATTTCTGTTGCATGTTTGGTTTGTCCTGGTGATTTTTGGTTTGATTTGGGTTTGTCATCTTTTGAGGATGTTATTTTTGGGTTCAATTTTCTGTGCAGAACTTTTGATAAAAACATAGTAATCTTAAGTTTGACCTCCACCTCTTTCAGTTCTTTGGAAAGTGGGCTACTAATTTGCAACTGGGTTTGCAACTGCACTGGGAGAAGTTCCAGAACGTCTTGTGATACGGCTGCCATGCATGCTCCATGTATACCGACAGTATGCAGTATACTACCTGTACACTGCAGTGCAATCTACCACACATCACCATGCATACTGCTACTTTATTGCAAAACATGCCACCAGTATACTATCACGTAAGACACTGTGAAACACACTACCTGCCTCTTCATACCCCACCCCCAGGAAACTTCACCAGCCAACTTCACTGGCTCTGATTATAATGGAGATTACATGCATATTATTACTACCAAGGACACCACTTGTCAAAAAGTTGCAAATTTACTTTCATGCAATATTCATATTGCCTGCATGCTACCTTGGAGACCAGATGTATATTAACAGTAGTACTGTCATGCATCTCACCTGACCTATAAACACGGAAGATTGAGGTAGTTTTGAGGCCTCCTTGTGCCACTGTTCACCGTTCTATAATTACCCTGGAATCAGAAAGCTTTCACAAGCAGCTATTGGTTTGTGTCGTAACAAACTGTGTCAAAGCGCCGTTCCGATTACCTGACATCATCATTATTCTTTGCCTATTAAAAACATTCATGGTTACTGTCTGCTATAAGCAGAGGGGTCTATAGGCCTACCTATTCAGCATGCAATTTATATGAAACATGCAGTATCCATTCATTCACATGTGCTAATCTGTTCCACTGGTTTCTCTGTTTAATAAATTCCGGAATATGAGCAGCCAGCGTCAAGGCATCTGTGTTGTAAGAGGGCCTGGCTAACAGATGGCACATTCATTGTCCTGAGTTTTTCACTCTTTGGCATTTGTCACCATCATGCTGACAAATCAGCTCGATTTCGAGTGCAGCGTCATTGCACATCCGCGCTTCAACGGGATGGAGAAACCATAAAGTATTTTTTTCCCATTTAAAATTCCACAGAGACACCTCTTTTATCTGAAATTCTCATCAATCAGAACAAATTTTGACCAGTGTATAATGAAGCACTTTTTGTGTGAAGGTGCAACAGGATTCATTTCTTTTAATTGTATTTGAATAGAGAGGATTGGACTCACTTAATATTCAGAAAGTGACTGTAGTCACATTCACAGTGAAGACAGACAGAGTGAAAGAAGTTAGACCGAGCAGCTGTGGAGCGT